TCTTTCAGAAAGGGGCCGTTCTGCCCCAGTCAAGTGGACAGGAGGCACCACCGGCTCTGTCGAAAGAAGACTCGTCCGGCATGCAGGCAGGGAATCTGGAGGAGCGGACTGCCGGGAAAACTATCCACATCCCGCCTCGTCCTCCCCACTAGGTGCCGCACCCAGACCGGGGATGGAGGGGCCGGACTTCAGCCCAAGACAGTGATGCCGCCGTCGAATGCAGCTGGACCGGGGGCTGCTCCTGCGAGTCACAAGCTTTCAATGATATCTTGATGGTACTATAAGACACTCACATATTAGTGGTAGGATACTTGGGAACAAAACAAAGAGCATAAGGCCTCAGGCAAAGTTAATTTTGATATATGGATATATTGAAACGCAGGGGTCATTTTGTAGAAAAAGAGGTGCAGAGGCTCATTAGCATAACTCATTAGCATAACTTATTTGCATATGCCACACCCCCTGGTGTCGCTGGAAGTGTCAGAAGGCAACACCCACCGCTCAGGCACCACTGGACTGTTTTGGATTGCTAGCAATTTGGAGGGGGGAAGAATGTGCACATCTGTCCTCGCAGAGGAGGGAGAGCTTGTACCTGAATAAAACTTGGTCTTAAAGGTGCCACTGGACTGTTTTGGACTGGGGGGCCGGGGGGAGCTCTGCAACTTACCTGGCTGCTTCTTGCTCTGACTGAGGGCTGCTGGGAGCAGGGGGTGGGGCTTGATGCATGTGCCCGCCCCTTGGGCTCTTTACTGCCGGAGCTCCGCTCCTGTGCGCTCCTGCAGGAAAGAACCCCTATTGAAAAGTCTTAACTGTATTTGTTTACATAGGGTTGAATGTATTACTGTTTATGCTTATTGGATTTTATGTATATGTGACTTGTCTTTGAATAAAAAACGTAGAATTTTTTTTAAAAAAAACCCTGCAGCGGGAGGGGGGAGATGTCCTTGCAGCCAGACCCCCCCCCACACACAGGTTTACACGCAAGTAAATCCTTTTGGGGGGTGGGGAAATAAACCTTTCAGTCTTGCTGGGAGAGAGAGAGGTGCTGCCATTGCGTGCTTTTCTGACCCGGGAGTTTGGTATTCAACGGCTTCAAAATGTGATCGACGGGAGGTTTTAAAAGCTGCCTGTTCCCGAAAAGCCCCCCCCCCAATCCCCAGGGCTTGTGGGAGAGAGAGACTCACCCTACTAGATCCCCTCCAGGACTTCTCGTCTCGCCGCTCTACTCCGGCCCCTTTGCGGGCTGCTCTCAGCCCCCCACACTGGACGGAGCCTGCTCAGGGGGCTTGAGTGGTTGACCTTCCTCGACGGGTAGGCAGAGGCCGTGCCTTCCAGCAGCTCCACCTGGCTTCTGCTCCTGCCCGCTTGTTTGCTGGAGGCATGGGGGTGGGCTGTGGGTCGGGGGTCAAATCCTTCCTCAGGGGCCACCGGGCCCAAAGAGTGGAAGCAGAATACTCCAAAATGTTAATAATTACTCTTACGTTATTTCTCAGGTGTCTCTTTGGTAAAAAAAAAAAAACCTGCTTGATCTTGATGTATATCTGGCAGTACCTTCTTCAGTTGTGATGCTAAAATAGCAGCAAGGATTTAATTGGCCTCTAATTTTTCACTTCTTTACAATCCATATTTTCTTTGTGTATCAGAGAGAGAGTAGCTTCTTTCCAGGACTGTGGTAGATTCCCTTCTAAATTTTTTTTTTGTTCAGTCGCACAGTCGAGTCCGACTCTTCGCGACCCCATGGACCACGCCAGGCCTTCCGGTCTTCCGCCGTCCTCTGAAGTTGGCTCAATTTCATGTTCGTTGCATCTATGACACTAACCATCTCATCCTTTGCCGTCCCCGTCTTCTTTGACCTTCAATCTTTCCCAGCATCAGGGTCTTCTCCAGTGAGTGCCCCCTTCTCATTGGGTGGCCAAAGTATTGGAGCTTCAGTTTCATTCTCTGGCCTTCCAGGGAACAGTCAGGGTTGATTTCTTTTAGGATTGACTGATTCGATCTCCTTGCAGTCCAAAGGACTCTCAAGAGTCTTCTCCAGCCCCATAGTTCAAAAGAATCTATTCTTCAGCGCTCGGCCTTCCTTATAGTCCAACTCTCGCAGCCATACATGACTACTGGGAATACCATTGCTTTGACCATGCGGACTTTTGTTGGCAGGGTGATGTCTCTGCTTTTTATCATGCTGTTTAGGTTTGCCATCGCTTTCCTCCCAAGGAGCAGGCGTCTTTTAATTTCATGGCTGCTGTCACAGTCTGCGGTGATCTTCTAAAATATTGGCCTCTAATTTTTCACTTCTTTACAATCCGTATTTTTCTTTGTGTGTCAGAGAGATAGTAGCTTTTTCCAGGACTGTGGTAGATTCCCTTCTTCTAAAATATTCTCCAACACCTTTTTATATGGTGTTAATAAAACATCTTCAAAAGGGCTGTAATGTTCTATTGGCAGTCCGTCTGGTCCAGGTGCTTTCCCCTTATTTTGTTTCCTAACTGCGTCTACAATTTCTTGTATTGTTATAGTAAAGGTAAAGGTTTCCCTTTGTCAGCTACGCTGCCATTGCAGGTGGTGGTGGGACGGAATCAAGGGAACATCTTCAGTGAGTTGGGATGTCTGGTTTCGGTTTGGCTGCTAGTCCTCATCTTACCGTTTAGACTCTGTGACCTTGGCGCTCGTCCCCGCTTGCTCGCTGAGAACTTTTGTTCGTTAGGAATAGGTGCGCTTTCGCTAGACTGCTTATTGGAGGGCTCTTTTTGTAGCAGGAACTCCTTTGCATATTAGGCGACACACCCCAAATGTAGCCAATCCTCCAAAAGCTTACAGTAGCCCCTGTAAGAAGAGCTCTGTAAGCTCTTGGTGGATTGGCTACATTAGGGGTGTGTCGCCTAATATGCAAAGGCGTTCCTGCTACAAAAAGAGCCCTATTCTCCCCCCCCCAGTGACCCCATTTGAAACCAGTATATCCTTCCCCATTCCCACCTAGCAGGTAGAACTGACACTGATTGTATGCACAGATGACCTCTCAATACTACTCTTAATGAACTCGATCCTTTCTGAAGGAATGTTGTTGGAGTTGATTGTTGCAGGACCCTGACACCCTTGCTCGAAAGCCAGTCGAATCCGACTCTAGGGTTGCGGTGCTCATCTCCGTTTCCAAGCTGAAGAGCCAGCACTGTCCGAAGACGTTTCCGTGGTCATGTGGCCAGCATGACTAGATGCCGAGGTGCACGGAATGCTGTTACCTTCCTACTGAAGTGGTACCTATTTATCTGCTTGCAATTTCTTGCTTTCGAACTGCTAGGTTGGCAGGAGCTGGGACCAGAGACGGGAGCTCACTCTGTCATGCGGCACTCGGGTCTCGAACTGCTGAACTACCGACCTTCCAGTCTGCACTTCAGTGTCTTAACCACTGAGCCATCGCAGCCCTGTATTGTTATAAAAGGTAAAGGTGGAAACATGGTCAGCCTCAAAGCCCATAAAGTAAAGGTAAAGATTCCCTTGCTCGAAAGCCAGTCGAATCCGACTCTAGGGTTGCGGTGCTCATCTCCGTTTCAAAGCCGAAAAGATCTATTGTTATAGATCCATTTAATTTCAATTTCTGGACTTCACCCAGGGGCTGTCATTCCACTCCGTGGTCTCTCATTCCATTCCCAGAGTAGTGTATTTCGGGCTAGAGACCCTAATGGAAAATCCATTCTGCATATTTGTTGCAACTCTACTTGTACCCTAATGTATTTCCCAATGGAGCCCATGCAAGTCAATTGGTAT